AGCATGCAAATACCTGTTGAGATGCAGCATGCAAATATCTATTGAGATGCTGCTTGCAAATATCTATTGAGATGCTGCTTGCAAATACCTGTTGAGATGCAGCTTGCAAATACCTGTTGAGATGCAGCTTGCAAATACCTGTTGAGATGCAGCATGCAAATACCTGTTGAGATGCAGCATGCAGATACCTGTTGAGATGCAGCATGCAAATACCTGTTGAGATGCAGCATGCAAGTACCTGTTGAGATGCAGCATGCACATACCTGTTGAGATGCAGCCTGTAAATACCTGTTGAGATGCAGCCTGTAAATACCTGTTGAGATGCAGCATGCAAATATTTGTTGAGATGCAGCATGCAAATATCTATTGAGATGTAGCATGCAAATACCTGTTGAGATGTAGCATGCAAATACCTGTTGAGATGCAGCCTGTAAATACCTGTTGAGATGCAGCCTGCAAATACCTGTTGAGATGCAGCCTGCAAATACCTGTTGAGATGCAGCCTGCAAATACCTGTTGAGATGCAGCCTGCAAATACCTGCTGAGATGAGCCTTCAAATACCAGTTGAGATGTAGCTTGCAAATACCTGTTGTGATGCAGCATGCAAATATTTGTTGAAATGCAGCATGCAAATACCTGTTGAAATGCAGCATGCAAATACCTGTTGAGATGCAGCATGCAAATACCTGTTGTGATGAAGCTTGCAAATATTTGTTGAGATGCAGCATCATATGCAGCATGTAAATAGTTAATGCATCTCACTGGCCAGTTTTTAATTTGTTATTACAGAGATGTGCACTAGGTTTTAAATCACTAATTTGTGAAGGAAATAATACGTTGAATATATGTTAAGTTTTTGATTTAGCTATCAAATAAAACTCAGTAATTAAATTAAGATAATTGTTGAGGTGCAGTCCTGCTGATGCTTTCTATCCATGTCTGCTGAATTAAAGATTTAAGTTCATGTTGGGGGGGGGGGGGTGTAACACAAGACTAAAATTTTGCAACATGCTTAATTTGTTTTTAATTGTCTTAATATATACAATTTTTAGACCATGTAAACTAAAAAGATACAATTTCCAACCTCCTTTTAAATGTTGCAAATTGTGATGGATACATTTGATTTAATAATTAATTTTTGAAATTAAACTGGCTGCACGAATTAATAGGATTTTTATGGTATGCCAGTTTAAAATACTTCAACCAACCCACTTTGTAGATCCTTACAGTCTCAGCATGGGGTGGCTGGCTGGATGAGATGTTCACTTATTGTGCAATGTTTCCTGCTGATATCCCAGTCAATTAGTTGCAAGTCTAGTTATTTTCCATCTCAGTTCTGACTTCCACAAGTTCCAGGAAAGATCTTATCAGTGTTGAGTGGTCCACATAATTATGAATCTCCTTTTGACGGCCACCTTCGCTAGTGTCAAAATAAAGATCTGGAGTTTGTGTTGTGATTTTAAGGATTTGCATCAGACAAGGTGACCTCGTGCTAAATAGGAACTGGTTTACTATTGTGAAATCATCAACCTTCGG